TTGATGGCCTAAAGAAATTATATACATTATGTTCAAAACACGGTGCTCGAGTATTAGGAGTAACGATTCCTGAGTTCGACTGGGTAATTTATTATTATATTCGATTAATATCTGCTTTTGCATATCTATTTCTCGGAATTTCTTTCTCTAATTATCGTTATCATTAAATTTTTTAGGATCTTGTAAATCACCTTGATTATCAGCGCCGTATAGTAAATGAACACTTAAAGTATGTCACATGACAATTCTTTTATCGTCACACTTTAAATTGCCATTCTCTTATGCTAATGCAAATACATCATATTTTTTTCTTTAGCGTGTATAACAACAGCACTACAAGGAATGCATACACACTCTTCCTCCTTGACAAATTTTTCCCGATGCATTCTTTAACGACAGAACAGCGTAGAATCTTTTGGGATCATGACGGTGTTCATCCTACAGAGGACGGTTATAGTTTAATGGGTGATATGGTATGCATATTTTTTTCCGCTTGATAACATGATTTAACACATTTTTATTGCCAATACTAACTAATCAATATAATAATTATAATATGATTATAGATATTTGACATACTTATCAAAGAAGGGTCATGGGATTAATGCAATTATTCGCCGAGTAATTATAATTTGAGCAAAATGATCTTTGTTTTTTTATATATTTGCTCATAATAAGGATTCTTTTTTTATTTTATTTTTATTTTCTTTATTATTATTATAAAATTGAAAAACTTTTGTTCTATTTATCAAGTTTTATTTCCCCTAATTACACTATCTCAAATTCACTCCTCCCTGCCTTACGTAAAACGACAATGATTTGATTTGACATCAATCGAGATAAAGGGAGTTCCCTTCCTTCACCCTCAAAAACAGAACACTTCTCTAATGGGATGAATTTTGATTTCACGACGAGAAAAAAAATATATTTCATGGGTTTTATTATATTTATTGTGGGTTTTTGGGTTCAAAGTTGTGAATCAAAACTGTTATCCCATTTTTTGGTTACCATTTTTAACGCACAAGACTACAAAATTTGGAGGAATTCATATAATATACACGTTTTAATCGGTTTGTTTCGGTTTGAAGAAACTTTTAGGTTTGAGAATTTCATTCTCTACCTTGATTTCTTTTTTTTTCAAAAATTCAATTGAACATATGTTTTTTTTTATAGATTATGATGCATACAAAAAAAATTCTTTTAATAATTTTCAAACCCCTTTTATTTTTATTTAAATATATTCTCGTATTTAATTATTTGTTCTCAGACCTCTTTTGTACTTAATAGAATCCTTTCTTTTTATTACTAAAAAAAAAAATATTCAATTTTTCTTTTTTCGATATCTCCTCGTAAAAATATATTATTTTCAATCTTTTTTATTAAAAAAACGTCAAGCAAGAATTTTATCCAACTTTTATAGTTTATTACAGGAGAAATTTTCGAAAAAATAATGAACCAATTGATGTATTTTTTTTATGTATATAATGAGCGAAGGATAATGGAAGGATAATGTCAACATTTTTTACGAACAAAAAACTATTAAAGAGGCAATTTGGATTGTAAAGACTTTGGGAGGGCAAAAGAATTTTTTTTTAAGGCACTAGTATGTCATCATATTATTACACAAATAACAACACATGCTTTATTTTTTTTCTTGTATATAGTTTTTTATTAAAAAATTTCATTAAAAGAAGAAACCTCATCCCTTTTGATCATATTTATTTGTTTTTATTGTTTGTTTTCTATCAGTTTCTCGTTTCTGTTGTTTGTTTTTTTCTTCACTATTCTTTCTCAATATTTCGTTCCTTTTTTTATTTAACAAAGTACAAACGTACGAATCTTTTTTTAACTCGCGGTTCCTTTTATTCCGTATTTTTATTTCGTTGTTCCTCTTTGTTGTATATGCTTCATTTATTAGAATGTATTTTCTATTTATGAGTTATACGACAACAATTATGCTTCAAAATCCATCCACAATTTTTTATGGTTTTTTTTATAAGAATTTTATCCTACCGTTTTATCCTCCTATTTTCAAGATTTTTAACGTTCGAAAAAAAAAAATCGTGTCTCTGTTTTTTTTCTGAACAATAATAGCTCTTTTGTTCTCAAACTATTATTATTATTTTTTTTTTTTTGAACAATCATTACAAAACACAATTCTCATTCAAATTTTATATAGGTTATATACACGAAAACTTTATGCAGACTTTATATTCGCATTTTTTATCGCATTGCATTTCGCATTTGTACTTTTTTTTTTTCGCCTATTCTTTGTAGACTCTTTCACCCTTACCATACCCTTTTTTTATTTTATTTGTACCTGGTCCTTTCTAAGATACGTTGATACGTTATCTTTTCAATGGTTAAATCTGAAGAACTTTTTTTATTTCTTTGTTTACCTTTTTTATCTTTTTTTTTCAAGGACTCTTTTTTCGTTCTGGCAAAAAACTTTTTTTTTATCTTACCTTTCGATTACTGGCAATAATCTGAATCTCGTATTTCTTTTTTTTTTTTTCGATAAAAAAAAATAAATACAATAGAATATATATTATTATTAAAAATATTTATCAAGTTTGGTTCTTTGGGGGTGTGTGTGAATAATGTAATATGTTAATATAATATGTTAATATTGTTAATATTGTTAATATGTGAATGAAAGGTAAAAAAAACGATATTTTTCTTGTCTTTTAGGAAGAGAAGAGAGAGAGAGAATAATGAAGAAAAAAAAAAAATTGTTGAAAAAAAAGAAACAAAAGAAAAAACGGATTATTATCATCATTTTAGTGAGTTAATAAGAAAAAAAAAAAAAAAAGCCCAAAAAGTTTTTTAAACAATGAAATCTGTTGTAAAACGATGACCTAAATATTGATATGTTCTATGACAATGAAATTTCGAATAAGTGAATGAATACGTAAATGAATAAAATGAATCAATTTAGTTAATGCGATTAATACGCTTAGAATGAGAAATTTCAATTATTATTAATTTTTTTTTTTCTTGCAGTTAAACAAATTAGGTCATATGCCAAATAATGCATAACGACCATCACACGAGAAAGGAGAACAAATTACAAATTCGGCAGAGTTTGATAACGCAAATAACGTAAGAAAAAAATTCATGGCACAATGATAATGATTGTTATCATTCAATTTCAAATCGAACTACGAAGTTCATTCTTTTAATGTTCGATTGACTAAAATTGTGTTTATATAGAACAATGGTAATGCAAGTGTTTGAGAGAATTAGCTTTCATTTTGGGTAAGAAGGAGGAGGAGAGGATGATTTTTAATGTGATTATTGGATAATGCAAAGCTACCTTTCGGGCATATTGTTACAAAAAAAGAGATGCTTGTTTATTTACATATCTATTAAAAAAAAAAACGTCGGACATACCCATTAATATCGCGCGTATAACAAATAATGCTAAGTTAGTTTAGTTCTTTTTCATATCAGATATTGAATACATGAATATTTCAAAAAAAATATTCGGAATTCTTTTAATTATATAATCGCGCGCTTAGGGTTCGCGTTTTAATACGCGTTTTAAAAGTTTCGCGTTCTTTTCCCGATGTCGGAGACTAGTAAAATAAGTCCGATGCCTTTCTCAAAGCCCTTTTTTTTCACACATTATGTTCGTACATTATATGAGTAACATGAGTAACATGAGTAACACATGTGATTTTATTTACGTTTTTTTCCTAATAAAGTTGTTACATTGAGAAACAGGTATGTTTATGTTTTGTTATTGTTTGTGTTGTCTGTGTTGTCTGTGTTGTCTGTGTTATTTGTGTTGTTTGTGTTCACTCGGATTTTCTTTAATGCTGGTGTTTTATCGTTATTCATCTTATATTCATCTAACATTCTGAATTATTTATACGTTATCATCTTATCTACAACTATTACGGAACTTTTTGGGCACCGAGCGAGTACTGGACGCACATCTTTATGATGATCTTTTCTTTTCGGAAATATATATATTATGTTCAAAAATTCCTCCAGCTTTTTTTAGTATCGATATTTTAAATATTTAACAAATAAGGTTTTAAGTAAACGTTACATTAAGTGGCGTGACCTAAACAATGAATTTATTTAGGAAATTATTAATTCTGTTCGATTTTGATTCGATCTGATTCTGATTAAATTTGGTATTTATTTTCGTTGATCCTATAAAATTAAGAAAGTTGAACCGTAGATACTTTTTCGAAGCTCGTTAATTCGTAAAGATATTCTGAATTTATCTGTCCTCCTGAAAATGTGATACGTTAAAGGTCTCACACATTTTATTTCATTATTGGTTATTAATTTATATCTCCTCTATTTTTGATTAAATTAATATCGATCTTTTAAAATCGAAATCTCTCGTGACCTAAATATTTATTACTAATACTCCCCAAAAACATAATTTTACTACGTAAAATGACGTTAAATATTATAACGTTTGCCTTTAATGTTAAACTTGATCAACCTCGTTTGTTTTTTTAACCACGAAAAAACCCACGTACATACGTACTTAAATGATGTTCTCAATCCTTTTAATCAGTAACCATTAATGTAATTATGGTTAACTAACCAAAAAAAACTTTGTACAAGTCAAATGACTAATAAATTTGTGCTATTGTATACAAAAAGATATATTTTACAATTTAAGAGTAGGGAGAAATTATTGAATTTACTGAATTATATATAAAATTAATTGTAAAAATTTTTTCTTTTTAAAATTAATAGAAAAATTTACTAAGTAAATTATTATTAAATTTCTAATAAAAATTGTAGAATGATTCTAACAGTAGTAAATTTATTAAAATTGGTTAAATATCTGTCAAGAAACTTGCATTTAAAAATCGGGTACGTATCATAAATTTGTTTATAAAAATCATATCTGATATGATCTCCACCAATCAAAATTAATAATTTCGTGTAACTGAGGAAAAATTGCGAAAAACTTTACAATAATTGTCCTACCAAAATCATATGACAAATAATCTATGTACCCCCCACCCTTAAGCAAAATACTTCCATCCAGTAATTTCGGTCAATTTATTCTTTTCACTTTTCAAGAATTCTTGTAAATCTATGCTAATACATGTATCCAATACGCCAACTCCATGTCCTCCGATAGATGTTTCGTAACATTCAAAACAATGTGGTGAAGCATTCAGATCCTTTTTGACATTTTCGATTTGTTCTTTTGATACATCTACAAAATTAAATTTTTATATATTAATTTTATATTTCATACTATATAATATTTATTTTAGAGATTTTTCAAATTACCATTACGAATAAAAGTTACTGCGCACCCTCCTCCACCGGCACCTGTAAGTTTTGTATGCAGATCATATTGTGCTGCTATTTCTCGAACTTTGTCTAAACTTGGGTGACCTACCCCAAGTGAATTTAATAAGTGATGATTCATATCAATGAATCCCTAGTTTTATAAATTTATAGAATTATTTATAGAAATAGAATTTCTATTTATACACGGGGTGTACCGGTATGTACACGAGCATACCAACTGATATCTCAAAATTTTGACTATGAGACCGCCTTTTGGCTTCTAACGAAAAAAAATTCCTTGCGAAATTTTGGTATAAATTAACCCTCGCCCTAACAACCCAACCCTTACCCTAACCATAAGCGATAAATTAATAGGAAATTATAATGACACAGCAACCACGTGACTTATCTCCTTTATCGGCACAGAGATGATCGACATAGCAAAATGACAGAATGGAGCGAAGATATCTTGAAAACCACCAAGCCAAATTTGGCTTGGTAGTTGTCGAGATATCTCGCTCAAAGTTTGAAAAAAAATTCAAAACGTCCATCAAAATAGATGCACTAAAATTTTTTCCAACTTTGAATAGAGATATCTTGGCAATCACTAAACCAGATTCGATAAACCTTTTTATTCAAATTCTACGAATCTATAGAAAAGTTTATCGAATTTGGCTTGGTGGTTGTCGAGATATCTTCGTTCAAAGTTAGAAAAAATTTTAACACATCTATTTTGATATGCGTTTTGAATTTTTTTCATTTTTTTCAAACTTTGAGCAAGATATCTCGACAACCACCAAGCCAAATTTGGCTTAGTGGTTTCATATCTTTTTGCTATGTCGATCATTTCCGTGCCGATAAAGGAGATAAGTCACGTGGTTGTTGTGTCGGCCCGTGTACACACACCCCCGTGTTTATTTAGCAATTTTCTTATAGAAATAATTTGCATCTATAATACCTCAATTTTTGTACACAGTTCATGATCGTCCTCTATGTGAATAAATCAAATCATGAGTATAGTATTAAAAAATTAATAGATAAAAGCTATGTACACTTACTTGTTTCATTTTCCAAAATTTCTTTAAATGATTCGCTAATGCTATGGATTGCATCCAATATTAAATTAACATTTTTTGGAAACTAAAAATAAATAATGAATTGAAAAAAATATACCGTATATATTTATATTGTAATAACCAATTATTAGATAAATATATATATCTTACATTTTCAAGTCTTTTTCTAACATTTTCTACCAGAGTTTTTGTGTGACGTGGTACTTTGGTATTGGTCAATAAGAAGCGTAAAGACTGAGTTCTTTCAAAAGAATTTGTCAGTCTCAAACAAATAATATACGTATATCAAAGGAATAAATAATTACCCCTTTATATTTTGAATCACACCATTGGTGAACACAATAACGCCTCCTGTAATATTATAATATAATAATATTAGCCAAAACTTATCATTCAACAAATCAATTTTTAAACTTGCC